CCCACCTGCGTGTGATCGAGGAGAGGATGAACCAGAGCCTGGGCCTGCTGGACCAGAACCCCCACTTGGCGCAGGAGCTGCGGCCCCAGATTGGTGAGTGCCCGTCTCCCCGGCCCCCATTCCAGACCTCCAAGGGAAGACCTTGCCTCCCCAACTTCAATCCTCCCCACTTTTGGTTATCTATCCCCATGTAACAAACCACCCCAAAACTTGGTGGTTTAAACGAACAGCCATTTTTCTTTGTTCATAATTCTGCCATCTGGTCTGGGTTCAGCTGAGCGGTTCTTCTGGTGGTCTTGCCAGAAGTCAGGTGTGCAGCTGTCTTTAGCCAGAAGGTCATCTGGGGACTGGGGCTCCAGCACACATGGGCCTCTCTCCCTGTCCAAGTAGGCTCGGGCCTCTCTTCTCCAAGGAGCCTCTCCACGTGGTCTTGCCAGCAGGGTAGCTGGACTTCCTACGTGGTGGTTCATGCTCCCCAAAATGCCGGGTCTTCTTAAGGCTTGGGCTCACATTTTATTGGTTAAAGTAAGATATAAACCCAGTCCAGATTCAAGCAGAGGTGCCTAACATGAATACCAGAAAGTGTGACCTACCACAGCCTAGCTCTATGGTGACTTCCTCCCAGCTATCCCACACCTAACCCGAATCCTCCTGATACTCAAGGACGCCATACTCTTGAAACTTCAAACTTCATCCAGCTCCCCACTTTGCCAGGTCACACTTACAGCTGCCCACGCTTGGGGCTGACTCTGCCGTCTGCGTGGTCTCCCAATAACTCTGCTGTTAGGATGCCCCTTTACTCCCCCCGCTGTGTTTTGTGGCGTCCCTATGCTCACCACCTCGGCCACCTTTCCGCATGTTCCCCCAGAGGAGCTCCTCCACTCTGAACACCTGGGTCCCAGCGACTTGGAAGCCCCCGCCCCTGCAGCCAGCAGTGAGGACAAGGCTAGGCCACAGCCTCCAGATTCCAAGGACGGTGAGTGAACCAGACTTGGGGAAGAAGCCCCAAACCTCATTTCCCCTAAAGTGTGAGGGTGTCTTAGCCACCACAGTGAGTGGCAGGACGGGGAGGAATGTCCAAGGTTACCGGGGGCGGGGGGACCTCTGTAGGATCCTTGGTGCTACTTCTTGGTCCCTGGGAGGATGTTTCTCTACCCTTTTGTTGACGATACCATCCTCTCTTCACTGCCCCACCTGCCCTGCCTCCTCTGGCTGCCAGCAGACACCCCCATGACTCTTCCAAAAGGTGAGTGTCTCACATAGTAGACCCCAGCCACTAAATCCCACTGAATCCTTGAACCCAGAATGGAAAAGGGTCCAAACACTGGGGACCCCATACCTCCTGGGATAGAGTCCGGTGTGCTTTCTGGCCCCCTCCCCAGGGGGATAGCACCCCTCTGGACCCTCAAGAATGAGATAGGACTTGGGGATGGGGTCCACAGAACAAGATGCTGCACCCCCTGGGAAAGAGAAGATGTCCCCCCTGGAGCAGTATGAGCGAAAGGTAAGTTAGTTGGACCTGTGGGCTCCTGCGGGAGGACAACAACAGGGCCTGGACTGCTGGGGCTGGGGGAGGAGGGTGCTGCGGGTTTGGATTCCTCGGCCTGAGGGAAGAGGGGAGACAAGGACACGGACTCTGGGGTTCTAGGAGAGAAGAAGGCTGGGGGACACCTTCTTGAGCCCCTGGGGAGGAGGAGGCTGGGGCCCAGAACCCTGGGGTTCTGACACCTCCTGCTCCCCCAGGTGAATGCATCTGTTCCAAGGGGTTTTCCTTTCCGCTCATCGGAGATTCAGAGAGACGAGCTGGTAAGAGGGTGAATTTCCCAGGTGCCAGGGGGAAAGGTCAGAGGTCAGCAGCTAGGCTGCGATTCCCAAAGCCACACAGGACCTTGGTGAGTCTGAAAGATGCCCTCTGCTCCATCTCCTTTCCCTGCAGGCACCAGCCGGGACAGGCGTGTCCCGTGAGGCCGTGTCCGGTCTGCTGATCATGGGAGCAGGTGGGGGCTCCCTGATCGTCCTGTCCTTGCTGCTCCTGCGCAGGAAGAAGCCCTACGGGGCCATCAGCCACGGAGTGGTGGAGGTGAGACACTCCAGGATAGGGTTCCAGAGCCTGGGCACAGGTGGGCTGTGAGATCTGCAGGAGGTCCCTGCACCCCACTATCCTTCCCCTGCCCTGGTTGTAGGTGGACCCCATGCTGAGCCTGGAGGAGCAGCAGCTGCGGGAACTGCAGCGGCATGGCTATGAGAACCCCACCTACCGCTTCCTGGAGGAACGACCCTGAACCGGCCCCCTTCATGCCTTCAGCTGAGCCCAGACCTTCCCTCTTCCTGGAGCCCCAGAACCCCAACTCCCAGCCTAGGGTGGGGGAGGGACTCTTGAAAAGGTAATTTCACACCCTTTGTGAGGGGGCTGGAAATTCTTATTTCCCCTTTCCATTTCCAAATTCCATCCCTAAGAAGCCCCCAGATATTCCCAGCTGCCTCCCTACATGGGACCTCCTCACCTTAATTTATTTTGCAAGTTAATTTATTGCTCCTTAAGGTGACCGTCATCTTGGTCCCAGTGTCTGTTGTTCCCTGGAATTCACCCTCCCACGTTTGCCCCACTAACATCCCAATAAAGTCCTTTTCCCCACCAGGCCATCCTGTGTTCTATGGGAGAATGGGGGAATGAGTGTGTAATCACAGCTGGTCGTGGGTGTCCATCCCGCCCAGACCTCCTTCGCCTCTTTAAGCCGGATGAGGGAGCTTTGAATCTGGGAGGGGCCTGCAGGACCAGCTGGCACGCAGGGAGCCAGGCTCAGGGACCTTGGGTAGGCTCCTGGCGCCTACACAGGAGCTTTCCGTGGTGCTGAAGGGCCGGGACTTCTCGCCTTCCATCTGCTGGCCACCGGCATGGACCCCAAGGAGGCTGGGCTCTGGCAAGTTTCTGCTGCCCTCTGCTCGCCCCCACATACAACCACACACAGCATCCCCCCCAACCCGCGAACCCTACGAGGGACTGGGAATCTTGAACCACCCTTCCCATTCCCAGAAGTCTTCATCCCTTCTTAGGGAGTCCGTAGAAAATCCCCCTGGGGTATGAAAATTCCAGTCATGTGTCCCATAGAGGGATATATGATGTCTGCAGGTGCCTGTTAGAGTTCATACCCTCACGTGTCCCATTTTGTGACATGCTGGAGTTAGCCCTCTACATATGCTGTTACCTGTCCCAAGAGCCTAGTTGTAGGGATGAAAAGGGTCGATGCTTGTGGAGATGTTAGAATTGTGCCTGTCACTTAGCAAGTGTTTGTTAAATACATTTTAAAACATTGTAGCAGCAAACACTCATGTAGTGTTCACCCTGGGCCAGGCACTACCCAAGGGCTTTCCATGAATTGGTGCCCTTAATCATTACTTCCATCCCCTGGCGCAGACACTGTGACCATCCCTATCTATCGATTAGGAAACGGAGAGAGAGAAGTTATATCTCGTGTCCAAGGTCACCATCTAGGGAGGGTCGGAACTAGGAATTCAACCCAGGAAGCCTGGCTCCAGCACCCACACCCATTGCCTACTTTGCTAACCTGCTGTCTTTGATCTGCTTTTTTACAACTTCCCAGCAGATGGCAGTAATGTGTTGTGTTGTGTGTGTGTGTGTGTGTGTGTGTGTGTGTGTGTGTGTGTGTGTGTGTGTTATGTCAGTTGTATTATAATGTCAGTATATCACACGATTTTTCTGACATGACTTGGGGAAGGGAGCACCTATTTCTAATTCTCCCAAAGGGCCTATGAGGTAGCAGTGTCTCTTCATAATACATACATGTAAATACAGGTCATGTATATTAAATATACACCTGGTAGGTGTTGGGAGGAAGATGCCTTCGTGATGCAAGTTGGATGCAATGCCACAGCTTCCTTACAGAACTCAGTTTGCACCACCATTCTGCTACCGGGTATACCTTCAGTCACACTCAGGTGAGCCCAGCAGAAATCTGTGGCCAACACCACAAGCAGGGGAAAAGCTGCCTTTGTGTTTTCACGACCAGGACTGATCAACAGGCTAACAATAGGTAATTTACACCCAGCCAGATGGGGCTGCTTTAAGCCTTAAGTTTTGGGGCAGAGACACTGGCACGTGCCTGAAGTGAGCTAAAATACACCTAGTTTGTTGTCCGTGAGAGGATCTGAGTAGGGGAGCCATGATGGGTCAGAGGGCTTTCTGGGTGATTAGAGCTGGATGGAAGCCAGAGCAGAGGCTGCGTGCAAGTACGAGAAGGGGTGCATTGTGCAGGTCCTCTGTCTTAATGTGGTTTTCTTCAGAAGCAGAAGCCAAGGCAAGGGTTTGAGGGCCAGTTTATGGGGAAGGAACGGGGAACACCTGCAGAGGAGGCGGGACGCTACGCCAGGAAGGGAAAGCAGCCAGTAAAGGATATCTTATCCGCCCACACCACCGCGGGAACCGGAGCTCCAGTCTGCTGGGGAACGTGCACTTGTGAGTTATCCCAACAGGGAGGGGAGGGGCCTGGTGTATTTATACACCATCAGTCCTGGCCGAGGGCTGCCGGAGCAGGACGTGGGCACGAACCCCTGGTTTTCAAGGCTTGCCACGCTCGCACGCAGAGCAGAGCAGCACCAGAGGTCTGAGAACGCCCGCGGGCAGAGATTGAGGTGCTGGCGCTGGCAGGCAGCCCCTGTGTGTCCATGGGGCGAGGGGGAGGGGATGTGGCCCTGGCACCCACAGTGGCTGCTGCACGCCCCAGCCAGGCAAGCGCGTCAAACCCGAGTCCTCTGTGGGGTATCCCAGCCACTCCCCTGTATTAATGTCCCCAGAGATCAGACGACAGCAGTTCTAGTCCAAAGCGAGTTTAATAGAAGTTTTAGGGATGTTCATTCAGATTAGGGGAGGGACTCGCTGTGGATGTGGAGGTCTGGGACAGGGCCCAGTGAGTTCTGAACTGGAAAGCAGCGGACCTGACGATCCCTAATCTGAGCGGGTCCTTCCTATGTCTCTGGCTTAGGACTCCAGGGGCGTGGGAGCTGGGGAGGGTCGGGAGCTATCTTAGGAGCTCCAAGTACCACGTAGGGGGATTACATCTGGGTTTTTGGGCATGAAGAGCTGAGTTAGGGGAGAGAACCCCAAAAGGTCTCAGTGAGGACAGGGTTAGGGGCCCAGGTGTTTCACAGAAACAATCAAGGGGCCTCGATTTCACAGAAATCATCAAGAGGGCTCCTTGTGGGTGGGGGAGGGGTGTCAGCATCCCAAATATTGGGGACTGTTCACCCCCCAGCAGCCATTTTGGGGTTTTAATGTAAGACCCTAATGGCGGGATATTCCACATACATTATCATGGATTTGCACATTAGCATACGCTGGCTGTCCCACAGGACGGTGGGGACTGGAAAATCAGTCCAGGTTCTGGGTTTGAGTCCTAAGAGGACAGGCCTGGGGGCGCCACACGGCTCCTCTTCAACAGCTGCCGGAGCTGCGGAAAGGCAAGGCAGAGTGAGCGGCCTGGGAGGCGGGAAGGCGCCGTGCGGGGCAGGGCTGGACAGGAGAAGCTGGGTGGGGTCAGGGGGATGTGACGCCCAGGGGTCCAGGGTCAATTCTGGGCTGGAGGTGAAGGTCTGGGTCACTCCAAATCAGAACTGTGGGCGCAGGGAGAGGTGCTCTGGCTGGGGGTTCCCACCCTGGGGTTAGCACCGAGGGGAGTCGAAGGGAAGAAATGAGGGGTCAGAAGTCACAGCTGAGGTCAGGACCCAGGGTTAGGGGCAGGGGACCAGGGGTCATACTTGGGGATCAAAGGTCACACCTTGAGGTCAAGATTCAGGTCATACATTGAGGTCAGGGTTGGGGTAGGGGTCAGAGGAGTCACCATACTGGGGTGAAGGATCAAACACGGAAGTCAGGGTTGGATAAGGGTTGAGGTCACCTTCTGAGATAGAAGTCACCCTCTAAAGTCAGGGTTGGGTGGAGTGGGGAGTCACCCTGCTGGCTCAGAGGCCGCTCCGCAGCCAGGCTCGGTGCTTACCCCCTCAGGGCCCGGCCCGGGCCGCAGCAGGTGGATGGGCTGCTCGTTCTCCAGGTTGCGCAGCGTCGGGTCCGCCCCAGCTGCCAACAGGCGCCGCACGATGGCCTCCTGGGCTGGCCCAGGGGGCAGGGCGGCCGCCATGTGGAGGGCTGTGTTCCCGTGGGCCTGGAACAATGATGGGAGGGCTCAGCAGGCTGACTCAGCCGGCCTAGGCCCTCCACACCGTATTTCACATTCTGCCCCGTCCACGTCCTACACGCGCCCCCTCGAATCCCTTCTCAGCCACACTCCACACGCCCCGCCGCGTCCTGTTCCACACACTTCCCCGCAGTCTGTGTCTACCTCCCACGCACAGATCCCACACATCCTCCCCTCCCCGTCCACAGCCCACAGGACCCCCAACACCTCACTGCCCCTCTGCGCCATGTCTCACACGATCTGCACCTCCCGGCCTCGGCCCCCACCTTCATGTTGACGAAGGCCCGCAGGTCTCCCCGCGGCAGCTCCAGCAGCAGCTGGACCAGGGTGGGGTTGGCAGCCTGCACGGCCAAGTGCAGAACCGTCTTGTTGCTCTTGATCTCCTGTGGGGAGAGGAAAGCAGAGGTCGGATCAATCCTCACACCCAGGCCCCTCCCACTGAACCCAGGAGCCTTTAGATACCC